AAATGGTAGAAAATCAGTAAACGAGATGATGGAATATTAGCAACAAAGTGCAAGGAAGCAGAGGAAAGGTTTGTTCCCAATGGAAACGGAAATAATAGGAAGACCAAAACGAGTCCTTGGTTTACCCGAAGGTGTAGGGAGGCAAAAAACTAAGTGCAACCAGAGAATGGAAAAGGTACAGGAGGCATAGGACCCAGGAAAACAAGGAGATTAGTAGAAGAGCCAGAAACGAGTATGCACAGATAAGGAGGGAGGCCCAGCGACAGTATGAAAACGACATAGCATCAAAAGTCAAATCTGACCCGAAACTGCTGTATAGCCACATAAGGAGGAAGACAACAGTCAAGGACCAGGTGATAAGGCTGAGGAAAGAAGTGGAGAACTCACAAGAAACGATCAAGAGGTATGTGAGGAGCTCAACACGAGATTTAAGGAAGTATTTACAGTAGAGACAGGAAGGACTCTGGGGGGACGGATCAGATGGGGACACCAGCAAGGAATACACCAACAAGTGTTGGACGACATACATACACATGAGGAGGAGGTGAAGAAACTGCTAAGGGACATCGATACCTCAAAGGCAATGGGACCGGACAACATCTCCCCGTGGGTCCTTAGAGAGGGAGCAGATATGTTGTGCGTGCCACTTACCACAATCTTCAACACGTCCCTGGAAACTGGGCAACTACCTGAGGTATGGAAGACGGCAAATGTAGTTCCCATTTTTAAAAAAGGAGACAGAAAAGAGGCACTAAACATAGACCTGTGTCATTGACGTGTATAGTATACAAAGTTATGGAGAAGATTATCAGGAGGAGAGTGGTGGAGCATCTGGAACGGAACAAGAGTATAAAATGCCAACCAGCACGATTCATGGAAGGCAAATCCGTGTCACAAACATTCTGGAGTTTTATGATAAATAACAGAAGTAAGAACGAGAGAGAGGGGTGGGTTGATTGCATCTTCTGGACTGCAAGAAGCCTTTGACACAGTTTCCTCACAAGAGGTTAGTGCAGAAGCTAGAGCATCAGGCGCATATAACAGGAAGGGCACTGCAATGGCTCAGAGAATACCTGACAGGGAGGCAACAACGAGTCATGGTACGTAATGAGTATCACAGTGGGCACCTGTGACGAGCGGGGTCCCACAGGGTCGGTCCTAGGAACAGTGCTATTTTTGGTATATGTGAACGACATGATGGAAGGGTTAGACTCAGAAGTGTCCCTGTTTGCAGATGATGTGAAGTTAATGAGGAGAATTAAATCTGATGAGGACCAGGCAGGACTTCAAAGAGACCTGGACAGATTGGACACCTGGTCCAGCAAATGGCTTCTCGAATTTAATCCTGCCAAATGCAAAGTCATGAAGATAGGGGAAGGGCACAGAAGACCACAGACAGAGTATAGGCTAGGTGGCCAAAGACTGCAAACCTCACTCAAGGAGAAAGATCTTGGGTGAGTATAACAACGAGCATGTCTCCGGAAGCACACATCAATCAGATAACTGCTGCAGCATATGGGCTCCTGGCAAACCTGAGAACAGCATTCCGATACCTTAGTAAGGAATCGTTCAAGAAACTATACACCGTGTATGTCAGGCCCATACTGGAGTATGCGCACCTGTTTGGAACCCGCACTTGATAAAGCACGTCAAGAAACTAGAGAAAGTACAAAGGTTTGCGACAAGGTTAGTTCCAGAGCTAAGGGGAATGTCCTATGAAGAAAGATTAAGGGAAATCGGCCTGACGACACTGGAGACAGGAGGGTCAGGGGAGACATGATAACGACATATAAAATACTGCGTGGAATAGACAAGGTGGACAAGACAGGATGTTCCAGGGAGGGGACACAGAAACAAGAGGCCACAATTGGAATTGAATACACAAATGAGTCAGAGAGATATTAGGAAGTATTTCTTCAGTCATAGAGTTGTAAGGCAGTGGAATAGCCTAGAAAATGACTAGTGGAGGCAGGAACCATACACAGTTTTAAGACGAGGTTTGATAAAGCTCATGGAGCGGGAGAGAGAGGGCCCAGTAGCAACTGGTGAAGAGGCGGGGCCAGGAGCTAAGACTCGGGCCCCTGCAACCACAAATAGGTGAGTACAAATAGGTGAGTACACAAAACACACACACACACCACACACACACACACAC